GCTTCCCTGCTTCTGAGGTCTTCAGATTTGGACAGAGCCATGCTACCAGCATCCCTGGGTCTCCAGCTTGCTGGCAGCCTAACATGGGACTTCTCAGCCTCTGCAATTATGTGACTATTTCCTCAAATACATCCCCTGCTCTCTCTCTACATATATACAACTATACATGTGTGTATCTTACTGGTTCTCTGGAAAACCCTAATTGAAGCCCTGTGTAATGGCCAGTGTTGTCAGTCTTCAAAGTTCACTCCAACCCTCCCCAGAACAGAACCTATGTGCTAGGAGCAGGAGGTTGGGGTGTAGGGAGAATTGATTGGAAATCAGCTCTTCATTGAATGACCCACCACATATTCCCTGCAGAGCAGCTCTGTTCAGGAGGAGGGGAGTGGGGATGGGGGGATGGATGGGCAAAACTGTAAAAATGCCAAATGGGTATATTTAATCTTCTATTCAGAAATGCGGCATATCTATCTCCCAGTTAAGTTTTATAGTTTTTGCTTTTATAGTTTTTCATACAACTCTAAAGGTTATTACTTTGTGCCTCATTGTAAATGGGTTTCCTTTATTGTTTTCCAGTTAATTACTATTAACTGTTCAGGGAAGTTGACTGGTTTGACATTAGCAATAATTTAAGAAATAATTGATAGCAGGACACAATGTTTCACTCCTTAGTTGAAAGTAGTATTTCAAGAGTGGCAATATGAACATAACTCTGATTTTTGGTTTAAATCCTTTAAAGTATTATGAAAAAATTCTTATGTTAACACATTAAAATAATCTTTATTAGGAATGAGTATTTAAATTAAGTACATTCTTGCCATCTCCTAAAGTCATTTTTAAATTGTGTGCATACTAAATTAACATTTATCCTACTCTATTTATTCAAAAGTCTATACTGTTGTCATTTTTATTTGCTCTTTTTGAAGAAGCTTCTTAAATTTGGGAGCACTGATTAACAAAAGTCCTGTTAGAGAACTATTTAAAAAGTGACGTAAAGATGACTTCAAAGAAACACTTCTTCCAAGACACTAATTATTTCTCCATTGTCCAGTTATTAAAAGCATACATACCTCAGTGAACATCAAAATCAACCATTTCAAGTCTCCATTGGAGGGAAAAGTTTCTGCTAATGGCACACTCTTAACTAGCAACAATCAGTGCCCTGAAAAATGCCCTCAGTAAGTTCTGCCAGATGAGATCCCCAAGGGAGTCAAGGTACTTTGCTGAGAACAAGGATCCTAATAAGTTGTGACAGCAGGGAAGAGCCATGCCCAAGATAGGGTATAGTCTAAGATAAGCAAGCAGATGTCAACGGCAAAAAGGAATCTTTTTTATTATATCGGGATTAGCTGTATGGAATTAATACATAATATTCTGATTTCACCTTATCTTCATTCTCCTCCATCCCAAGAACTTCCATATTTTTTAACAGCTATTTGAAATCACTGAAAGAACTAGTACCTAAGTCAATGTCCTACCTAACCAGGACATTCTCACACCATTTGTCTTATCTCATTTTTAATCCCTTTATAAGTTGCATTACTCTTAGCACACAGATGAACTATCTACTTTACCCACTAACCATTTTCATTACTAATATTCTCTTCATTTTTACACAAATACATCTACAATGCCAACTTTAGATATCTTTTAGTTTTCATAATTTGTAACTCTTTTACACAGATGGTATCTATCACAAAGTGTATCAAATTTGTGGGGGCTTTTTTCCTAATAAAAATCCTCTCTAGTAGACCCTTGAGGGAACTCAAGCAGCTGTTAATAAACTATGGCCAGTAGGCCAAATCCAGCCTACTGCCTGTTTGTGTAAACAGTTTTATTAAAACATAGCCACACTAATTCATTTACATTTGATCTCTGGGTGTTTCTGCATTATGAGAATTGGATACTTATGAGAGAAACTATACAACCTACATAGCCTAAGTTTTGTAGGCTGGCCTTTTATTTAAAAAATTTGCAGACCCTTCAATAAAAACATATTATTAAAAAAATTTTTTTTTTTCCAAAAAAAAATCTGTGCTACCAAGTACTTGGCAAGAGAAACTCTCGGAGTTTTTTTTTTAAAAGTAGATGTCAGCCGGGCTCGGTGGCTCAGCCTGTAATCCCGCGCCTTTGGGAGGCTGAGGTGAGTGAATTGCCTGAGCCCGCGGGTTCGAGACCTGCCTGGGCAGCGAGACCTCATCTCTACAATAAATCAAAAAAGCAGCCGGGTGTGGTAGCGCACGCCTGTAATTCTGGCTACTGGGAAGGCTGAGGCGGAAGGATCGCCGGAGCCCAGCAGGTCGAGGCCGTGGTGGCCGGGAGCGGCCACTGCACTCCAGTCTGGGTGACAGAGTGAGACTTCAGCTCAAAAAAAAAACAACAACAACAAAAAAAAGTAGATGTCAAGTAGTGAGAGACCCATTTCAATGAAGACGGACAAACTAAAACATAAACTCCTGAAGTTCGACTGCAAAATAAAACTACAATATTATATTCTGGAGAACCTAAAACTACTGAATATTATATTCTAGAGAGTCATTTTTAGCCCAGCTTCAGCCACAAGAAAACAAAGGATAGGGGTTTTGTTTTGGATTTTCTGCAATAACAATAAAGAAGCTTCGGCAGGTCTGCCTCCTCCACAGGAGCCTAAGTTAACAGAATGGGAAAAGGTTCCAACTAGATTATCTGGGGCATGAAGCATATTTTAAACAGCTTTTATAACCTTCAGGCAAGAGGCACATATCTCAACATTAGATTATTTTACTGCTATGGCTATTCTAAAATCTATCTTAATAGTGCTACAAGTATTAGCAGATAGTTCCTTCTCTCTCCTCTGTATTCACAGCAAGTGATGCCTCATAGCATATCTATCCAGAGCATTTCATTTTTTTTTTTTTTTTTTGAGTTGGAGTCTCACTCTGTCACCCAGGTTGGAGTACAGCGGCACACTCATGGCCACCCCTAGCATCGACCTGCTGGACTCCGGCAATCCCTCCACCTCAGCCTTCCAAGAAGCTGGAACTACAGGCGCACACTCCCATCCATGCCTGGTTAATTTTTTAAAAATTTATTTTAGACATGAGGTCTCACTAAGTTGCCCAGGCTGGTCTCAAACCTGCAGGCTCAGACAATCCACTTGCCTCAGCCTCCCAAAGTGCTGGGATGACAGCCTGAGCCACTGAGCCCAGCGCATTTCAATTTTATTGCTAGGGTGCTGAAGAGTATAAGCCTCTCCTTGGCTTACCTTGCCAGCACAGCCTCACTAACATTATGGCAAATGTTACTTTTTTCAAACAAAATTTCATTTGTAATTTTGGAAAGAAAAAAATCCCACACTTTATATAATTCACTAGCATTAAACACACACACACACACACACACACACACACACTTTGAAATCTAAATATTTCTATTAAGGTTCTCTTTGGATTTTATAGCATAGTAAAAAAACATTGTGTAAACACAAACTTAAGATAAATTTAATTGAAAATATTTGTTACAGAAATTAACAATGCTTACCATTCTTTAAACACCATATACATTATTAATATATACTGTATATTTCCAATTAACTCCATTCTTAGGCTCAATTTAAGAAACACAATTGTAACAGATTTTATACAAAAAATACTTCACTAAGAAAGTAGACAAACTGCACAAAAACAGTACAAGTATAATGTGCATAGCAAGATAGCTCGAAGCATTCTATGTATGGCTTTCTTTGAAATAAAACTATTAGGGGAATGGGCCCATTTGGGACCTACTGTTACAGTTGACATATGTAAACTGCTTCACATCTTTTTTAGGCACTTGCTAACAATAGTGTTCAATCCCTGAAAAAAGAATTTACCTAAAAAAAATATCTACATCTGAAATAAAAATCAAGAAAATAACATTGGTAAAGTCTCACATATTCCTTTTAAATTAAACAACCAGTTTTATTAGTGCATGCACAGAACTAAACTGAAAGAAAATAAATTTATGTCCAAAACTCTGTGCAAAATTTACATGAACTAAAAGGTACAAAAATATGTACAGATTTGTTATATACAGAAAAGAAGCCCTGAAGTTTTTATTCCATCAATGAAAATGTCATTAACACCTGTAGTAACAATGTAACAAAAAATTGTATTGTATGTAATTTTGTCATACGAGAACTCCATTATTCAACGATCCAACAAAATTTGATCCAAACTTACAAAATGAAAAGTTTAAATCTATGATTCTGCTACTGTCATGAAATCATCAATTTTAAACCTTTGTTGAGAATCTGTCCTGAAGTTTTATGTACTGCCACTGGGTCCATTGTGAACGCTTCCCTGTTTTCAAATGCCAACAATTATCAGTATGTATCTGCTTTGGACTGTCAGTCATACGTAAATGTTGCCAACAAAAATGGCTTGTCCTAATTTGTAATAGCAGTAAACACAGATAAAAATATAATTTGCTTTGCTAATCTTGCTTCAAAATATCATTTTGGTTATTAATTTTCAAGAAAAGCCATTTCCCTGGAAGTGCTTCTGTGTCCATTCTTTTTAAAGGGATGACAACTGAGAAAAAGGAAATGGCCATCTGATTTACGAAGGACAAAAAATTTAAATCAGATTAGCAGAGTTCTGTGCAAGGGGATCACTGGAGAACATAATCAAATTCAGAAATATGTTCAAGTTTGTCTTGAATTTAAACTAGACAAAGTTTAAATTCCTCTCTTGAGGCTGCTTATCTTATCTACCACAAATGCCTGACATTGCATTTAGAAAAAGAAAACACCTCTGGAGGGTGCACCAATCTCTGACACATGACAAAGCTTAACAAGGAAAAAAAATGTACTTGCCATAAACTTTTCTAGTATTATATGAGGTGTAACTGTAGTGAGTTAAATGAACTTGCAAAGGAGCCTACTATCCTTCAAAAGAACTACATTTAGCAGATGTAGAGTGACTTCTTTACCCAAGCTCTCTCAACGTATCTCCACAAATGTGAGAAACTCCTTCATGACAGAACTATCACCTTCAGAGGAGTCATACTCTTCAGATTCATAAGGCTGGTGGAAGAAGAGAGGGTCTGGGGGAGTCGGCCATCACCCTCTAAGAGTCACTACAGAACTAAATTGTGAAAATTCTTTTATCAAAAATTTCTTTAGCCCTAACTTCCCAAAAACACATCTTTAGAAAATTAAATCAAGGTACACCTGTGCTGTGATTACTTTCTTTCAAAACTTACGTGTGCAATGAGAGCATTTTCAAATACCACACACAAAACTTTTGCTCTTCCACAGAAATATAACCAACTTTTAAAATGTTTAATTTCAGGTACTATATTGAAGTAGAAAATGGCTGCATTATGGTAATTCAGCCCACTGTTTTCTTCTAAGGTAACTGTACTTTTCTTTTCATTGGTAATTACAGTAAATTATTCTAACATATTCCAATCCCGAGTAGCTTCCATCAAATGTCTCTGCCCATGACCAGCCCAAGTATCCTGATTGTCAAACACTCTGCCACAAAACCAACAGTTAAACTTAGCCTTCAAAACATTTTCAGAGGTAGTCTTCACAATCTGGTAATTGTTTTTGCTTGTCTTTTTTAGGGTTAATTTCAGCACAAATCTTTCTTTTACAGAACTAACAGGTTTCAACGTTTTGTGCCTCTTGGAAAAATCATTATGAGTTACTTGAGAAGGGTTATAATAAACCGGTTCCAGTAAAGCATTGATAGTTCTTTGTGACAACGAGACCTTAAGTACGCGTCCATTAAACTTAGCAATGGTTTTCATTACATTTTCTACTTCTGGTGCATCCGCGTCAGGATGATTCAAAACCACAACTGGTTGATTTCTCCGAGGACACTTCACAAGCTGTTTGGAACTAAAAGGAAAAAGGCGCAAAGTTCTGACGGAATCTTTTGAAAGCCTAGGTCTACTAAATCCAAATGCTCCATGGACATCTTCGGGTTTAGCCTTTTCTTTACACTTTCTATGCAATGTTGCTTTTTTTCTTGGAGGTTCTTGGTAATTATCCCTACACTTTCGTTTACAGTTTCTGTTTCTAGACACAAAGGCAGCTTCAGAATCTTTACTTCTTACATGAGTTTTTATTTTTGAAAAGTTCTTTCTGGTAGTCTTCTTTTTACTGAAGTTTCTCTCAATTGTACAATTTGTTTTACACCTCAATGCCCTGGCCTCTGAAGAGTCACTGATACATATCGGTTCCTCAGAAGATTCTGCGCATGTTGCAGTAGAAGTTATCACAATTTCATTTGCTGGCATCAAATCATCTAGTAAGAAGGGTAAGGCATCTCTAGAGGACTCTGGCTCTTTCTGCTCGCCTCCTATCATCTGATTAGATGGTACACTGCCTTTCTGCAATGAAGATGCAGAGTTGCTTACTGACAGATTATTAGTAGCAGTCACATTTAATACAGGGTTAAAAATTTTCAGCAGTATCCTTTGTGGTGTTCCTTCGGGTTTCTTTGGCTGTATATTTTGATAATGAGTACTATTTTGAACTAATTTAGGCTTAAGCAGCTCAGTTTTATTTGGCATCATACACTTTAAAAAAACAGCTTGTTTGCCCTCAGGCAAGAGGGTATAAAGAGGTGGTTTTGGAAAAATCTCATTCTGCTGTTTTGCTGAATCTAAAATATTCAACTTAGTGCCCTGATATTCAGATAGCATATCAGGGGTAGGAACAGCTTTCACTGAAGAACTTCCTGACGGCTTAATAACATAAGGGCCTTTTAATGGCATACTGTTTTCTGGGCTACTTTTCATGTTCAAACAACTGCCAATGCTGGAACAAAGTGCAGGTGTGAGACAATTGCTGCTTGGTTCTATCTTCAAAAAAGGTGTTTTGCAAGGCTCCTTAGTCACAGTTCCACAAGTTTGAGCACCCTCGGCTTTGACAGGGGAAACACCTTCAAGTTTCCCATTATTAAATGTTAAAACCATTCCAGGTTTCCTGTTTAAAAGAAGAGAAGCAGGGACACTTTGTGTATTAACCAGTGGAAGCGGTCTGCCTGAAACAACATGTAACCCAGGCTTGTTAGCAATGTGCAATGGCACAAAAAACCCTTTTGGAGTCTGAACAAATATAGCTTTTTTTGGTTCTGAAACTGGAAGTGGACTCTGCATATATAAAGTACCGAAATTTTGTGTGGTGGCTCGTAGTTTGTCTTTTACGAGCTGCTGTGTGATGATTGCATCCGACTGAGTCTTAAGCAGTGTGCCAATACCTGAAATTCTAGGTGTCTTCTCTGAGTCTCTCACATCTTGTGGCACTGACAGCCCTTGTTTTTCTTTTCCATTACATTGAAAATTCAGATCACTTGTAGGCCCATTACATTTAAAATTCAGATCATTTATAGGCCCATTCATCCCCACACTGCCAGATGGAACTTGAAAGATGCCTTGTACTTTGAAGTCTTTTGAAGATTCGATGATTCTGCTTTCTCCCTCAGGCTTTTGAAATGACTGGTCATAGTGAAGTGGCAAGTCTCTATTTGGAGTGTTACTAGAGTCTTGTACATCAGATTTCATCTTCAACACATCTTGAAGTAATTGGTTTACTTCAGGTGGCAAAAATTCTGACGCCTGTTGGCTCTGCAGGGAGAAAACAGATGTGATTCTGGGCATCATAGGTGAGTCACTAGAAGTGTCATTCCATTCGGATTTTTCAGTCACATTCTCTAAATTTTGACTTTCATTAATGAACAGATTTTGTCCATCAGCGTTCCGTGCTTGATCTAAAACACACTGCTCTTCAATTTCATCTTTTGTTTTTGAAGTTTCATCTTTATCATTTAGAAGGCTAATAGATGCTAATAGGCTATCTGGTTTTGAGCTCTCCTTCCTCACTAGTGATAAAACTGATTCACTAATTGGCCGCTGGACAACTGTTTTGCTCGACGAAGATTCTCTTTGAGGGTTTTCACATATTGCTGTTCCAGAAAACCTACGGCGTTTATTAGAATTATTCACTTTTGAGTAATTATGAAAGGGTAATGATCCTTGGTTGGAGGATTCAACCGGTAACTCAGAGTTGACATAATTAATGCAGTAGTTATGCATATCTCCACTGTTGTATGCATTTGGTTTGCTGGTGCAGTTGACTTTATCTGGACTTTTAATAGCAGTCCCTAATACATCAGGGTGGCTTTGAGTGATATGATTTCCCCAGAAGTCTACATTATCTCTTGTTTCAACCTTTGTGGCCAAATTCACTGATGCTGTAACCAATTCAGACATTGTTGGCAAAGAAACACTTCTTTCATAATCTGCTGTTTGAAGCATATTATTCCGTTGAGATATCAATGCCATTTCTCTTTCTGAAATTAATTTCCCTGAAAATATAGGAGATGAACACGAAAACGGAGTAGCTGTTTTCATACAAATGGCATCACTTAACTCAGTCGTGATTCCTGTTAAAAATCCAGTAGTATCCAAAGTCTGGGGCTGCAAATTAGCAATACCGTCCTTTGCAGCATCTGACTGTGAGCCTGGCATAAATAAATTCTGCTTATTGATAGGCACCAATTTTATTACAATATGTTGTTTCCCATCCACCATCTTGAAGCCCATAAATTTAGCACTGTAGTTAGCAGGAACTGTTATTCTATTATTTTTCACCATGAACACTGTAGGTCCTGGCACAGCCGTCTTCAGGAAACCTGCAGTAGCATTTGACCCCTCTTCAACACTGTTACATTGCCCAGAGGACAGAAGGGCTGGCTTCTCTGACTCCAGTTCTGTGGGTTGCAGATCATCCTCACAGTGTAGTCTTTCGTCCTTCTCCTCATTTAAATGCTCTTGAACAAGGTGGCTCTGGTCTTCAGATTTCACCCGTGTTTTGTTCATATTTTTAAGGACTTGAGTGTTTTTTTCTATACTTCTGTCACTTTCATTGTTAATTTTCTTGCGTTTCCAGAACGTCTTCCTTGATGCTCCCATTTTGTATCTTTTTAGTATTAGCTTAAGTCCTGCTGAAGTCTTTGCCATCCTTTTGTCATACTTGTCTTTTTCCAGTTTTTCTTTTGCATATAAATGTTCTTTGTGCAAAGTGATGACATGCCTTACGAGGTGTTCTCTCCTGGTGGCACCATAGCTACAATATTGACAAGTGAAGGGAAAAGTCCCAGAGTGAACATGAAGGTGCTTCTGAAGCTCCCCTTTGGTGAAACACACATGGTGGCATTTACCACATTTATAATGAATTTCATTATGTCTATGAATGTGCTGAACAAATGTGCCAACATCTCGGGTGGAAAACTGACACTTTTCACATTGAAAATGACCATTCACACAATGTGTGGATGAGAAATGCTTTGTCAAGTTCAATAAAGTATATACACTCTCACTGTTGCAAATGTCACATTTTACTAAAGTGCTTCTATGGGTTCGCCTGTGTTGTTTAAAAACCTGGAAGTCATTCGCTGAGAAACTGCACATTTCACAAGGATATGAAGGTAATTCGCCACGGTGCCACATTTGAAAGTGTTTTTGCAAGTCATTTGGGCTATATCGAATGTTGTCTCGGCATTTTAAACAGCTGAAATTGAGTATTTTTGCAGACATTTTTATACTCTCGCCTTCATCTCTGTCAGAATTATGAAGCAATATACACTCTTTGACACAGCTTATAGTCTTTATACTGATAGATTTTCTTGCAGTCTGTGGTTTAGTCTGAAATAATTTTCTGTATCTGTCAACTTCATGTTTTAATAGGACTTCATTTGGAATACTTATCTTCGGCAAGTCAATCTTCACATTTTTTAGTCCAATATGAAAATTACTCTCTGAAATGTTTGGTTTAGGTGCTGGTCTGATAGTATCAACCATCTCATTTTTCCCATCATAATATTTTTTTGAGATAGGTTGTTTTTCATCACAAAATAACTGTTTCTGTTCAGATGGCATGATTTGACAAAAATCCCCAATTTCTTTTTTGCTGAAAATTCTTGAAGTTATCTGTAATTTAAACAGGAAATGAAACTCTGCTGAGACATCTTCAAAATACAGGATTTTTCCCACATTAACTCACCTAAAATTAAACAAAGAATTGAAATTTTCATCACAAAGTCGTAAGTTTATTATCTCTAAGTTCCTCTTGGCACCAGTTAGTAATGTTAATCAAACACGGAAAGATACAAAAGACCTGTTAAGTATTTTAAGAAGAGCTTACCAAGAAGCAATGGTGTGGAGCGGAAATGACACTAATGTGGAAGTCAGGACATGCAAGCTCGAGTTCCAGCTCTGCTACCACACTGGGAAAGCTTCCACTTCTCTGGACCTCAATTTTCTCATCTAAAGAAAAGCACAGTTGGACGAGCACTGTCAAGCTTAAGATTTTTACATGAAGGTGACACTACAGCTTTTCAGTAGAATTTTAAAAACCTTAACAATAGAGTCCTAAAAACTTAAGTGCCAACACATACATGTGGCTTCCTATGTCCCGTTAACTTTCTCACTTGCTTGGCTGATCGTCTACTATATTGCTTTTTGGGAATCCAACAGACTTCTCTCCAGATTTTCTACTTCCTTAGTTCCTCAGGGCTAATCTACATTTAAAATAAAAGCTTCATTCCTCTAACAAAAACAACAATATAACATTATCTGCTCTCTCATTACTGACTGATGAAAAAAGAACAAAAAGGAAGAAATGAAAAGGAGTAGCACATTTCCCAGGTGTAGCCCATCTACTTAGTACCTTTCTGGTTCTCTACCCTTGTGGCTATTTGGTTTTTGGTTTTTTGTCGCCAAAACTCAGGCAGACAACAGCAAAGAAAGCCTTCAGCAAATGAGAATGTACCCATGACTATCCACTCCCATTAATTCATGTTACTGGTCATGCTACTTTAGATAAGTTTCAATCTCTGTATCTTAGTTTCTCCATCTGTAAAATGGGGGGGAGGATTAGTATGTCCCCCACCTCTTTCACAAGGTTGTAGTGACTATTACACGAGAAAACATGTAAAGGTATCCAGTGAAGTGCTGTATAAACAGCTGCTATCTTTATTGCTGTATGTGATTACTATGTAGGGGACATGAAACTATTTTGCAGAGATAGGAAGCTGAGTACTGAAGTCTCAGGAATAAAAATATCAAACTGTATTATTAGAAAAACTACATTTTCTGGTTGGGCACACCTGTAAATCCCAGCACTTTGGGAGGCCAAGGAGGGAGGACTGCTCATGAGCCCAGGATTTTGAAATCAGCTTAGGCAACATAGCAAGACCTCGCCTTTACACGCGCCTGAAGTCCCAGCAACTCGGGAGGCTGAGGTGGTAGGATCGCTTGAGCCCAGGAGATTGAGGCTGCAGTGAGCCCTGATCATGTCACTGCACTCCAGTCTGGGTGACAGAATGAGACCCTGACTCAAAAGAAAAAAAAAGAAAAATTACATTTTCTTATTTTTGTGCTCTTAAATATATATATATATATATATGTATATATAAATAATAAATTAAAATTAGATAAGCTAAAGAAAACTGTGTAAATCACATTAAGCACCATCCATAAAGTCCACTCAAAGGTCTGTTTTAAATTTTAATTAATGTAAATACTTAGGAACATCACTGTTTTAGAAATCCTTTACTGAGAGAATATCATTAAAAAAGTGAGGCTGAAGCCGGCTTGGTGGCTCAGCCTGTAATCCCGCGCCTTTGGGAAGTTGAGGTGAGTAGAATGCCTGAGCCCGCAGGTTCGAGACCTGCCTGGGCAGCGAGACCTCATCTCTACAATAAAAAAAAAAAAAAAATCAGCCGGGCATGGTAGCGCATGCCTGTAATTCCAGCTACTTGGAAGGCTGAGGTGGAAGGATCACTGGAGCCCAGCAGATCGAGGCTGTGGTGGCCAGGAGAGGCCACTGCACTCCAGTCTGGGCGACAGAGTGAGACTCCAACTAAAAAAAAAAAAAAAGTGAGGCAGGGCACAGTGGCTCATACTTACAATCCCAGCAGTTTGGGAGGCCAAGGCAGGAGAACTACTTCGGCCCAGAGTTCGAGACCAGCCTGAGCAACACAGTGAGACCACATCTCTACCCCCCACCCAAAAAAAAGTGGCCAGGCGTGGTGGCATGTACCTGTAGTCCCAGCTACTCAGGAGGCTGAGGAGGAAAGATTGTCTGAGCCCAAGAGATCAAGACTGTGGTGAGCCGTGACAGTGCCACTGCACTCCAGCCTGAGTTACAGAGTGAGACTCTGACTCAGAAAAAGTTAATTACTTACATAATAAGCTAATAAGAGACCCTTTTAACATTTCTCAAACTTAAAACACACTCATATATATGCTCAACTGATAATAAACTAATAAGAATTATTTCATATGCCATGTCTGATACAGTAAAACATTAAAACTTTTCCTTTAATGTCTTTTACTGTATTACTGGATCTAAAAACTTTTTCTTCAAAAGTAAAAAGTAACAAATGGCTAGAAAAAAAGATAAATGGGTCAAGCACAGTGGCTCAAGCCTGTAATCCCGGCACTTTGGGAGACTGAAGCGAGTGGACTGCCTGAGCCTAGGGGTTCAAGACCAGCCTGGGCAACTTGGTGAGACCTCATCTCTACAACACATAAAAAAATTATCCGGGTATGGTAGCGCGCGCCTGTAGTTCCTTCTTCTTGAAAGGTTGAGGCGGAAGGATCGCCTGAGCCCAGCAGGTCGATGCTGGGGTGGCCGTGAGCATGCCACTGCACTCCAGCCTGGGCGACAGAGTATAACTCCGACTCAAAGAAAAAAAAAAAGGTAAATCATACCTGGTAGATACACCACACTAAGTAAGAACATTCCCTACAGAGTGATTTCTCAACAGTGACAAGCATCATTATTACCGATGCAACCCGCCCCATACCAGAATCTGAGGGTGAGAACCACAAATGCGAAACTTGTTTTAAGTACAGCTAGTACCAGCTGTTCTCCATTTGTCAAACTGCCATATTGTGGTCATTCTGGATTATCCATACCCAAGTTTTCCTATTACTACATATAATCAAGAAGTCTATCATGGGCTTCATTACAAAAGGCAAACTGCTTCTTATAGTAATATCATGTGACAAAAGTATATTTTGTATAACGCTAAAAAATTTTTAATTTTCATATACCTAAATGTCATCAATTCCATTTCAAAATATCTACACAAAATTTTTCTTATAAAATAACATATTCCAAAGTTTGATAGTCAGTGTAAAGATAGCATTTTAAATAACTCAATCAACTAACATTTGCTAATAAATATCTACTATGTGTGTGAAACACTTTGATGCATGCTGTGGAGAGATTAAAACTTATGGTCCCCAGCTGGGCATGGTGGCTCAAGCCTGTAATCCAAGCACTTTGGGAGGTTGAGGCGAGAAGATTGCCTGAGCCCACGGTTTGAGACCAGCCTGGGCAAGTTGGTGAGACCTTGTCTCTACAATAAATCAATAAATAAAAACAAACAAACAAACCAAAAAACATGGTCCCTCCTCTGCTGTAGCTTACAATCTAAAAGAGGAGGCAGGGTATACACATTGCTTATTCAGAGTCACTTATCCAGTAACTCCACCATTCCAGTACACAGTCAAGGAACAGAATGTAATTAAGCAGGATGCATGGCAGCCAAAACTGATGCCACAAAGTCCATGCCCTCTCCTCACCGGCATGGCCTGTACATTCTCATGCAAAGTCCACTCTTGTTCCAAGCAATTTAAGTGAATTTGCTTTGGTTTCACAGTCCTTAGCAAAGAAGATTAAGAGTCCCTTGACAGGGCTACTATGGCTTGAATGTCTGTCCCCCTCCTAAAACTCGCTCATGCTGAAATTTAATTCACAAAATATAACAGTATTCAGAGGCGTGGCCTTTAAGAGGGTCATGAGGGCAAAGCCTTCGTGAACAGATGAATACATTCATGGAGTGGGCTAGTGATTGCGAGGGGGTCTGTCACAAAAGCCAGCGTGGTAAATCCCAGCCCCTTTGTCATGTGATGTCCTGTACTGTCTCAGGACTCTGCAGAGAGTCATCCCCACAAGAAGGATCTCACCAGATGTGGCCCTCAACCCTGGACTTCTCAGGCTCCAGGCGTCTTTGTTTATAAATTTCCCAGTCCCAGGCAGTCTGCTGTAGCAACAGAAAGCAGAGGAAGACAGCCCGGAGAGAGAGTAAAAGTATCTTTACAAAGGCAGGAGGGATGAATGATCCAGAGAAGGCAGATTAGCTGTCGCCAGGGGCTGAGAGGAGGAGGGGAAATAAAATGGCTGCCAAAGGGTACAAGGTCTCCTTGGGGGCGACCAAAATGTTTTAGAACTGGAGAGAGGTGCTAGGCGCACAACACTGTGAGTGTGCTGAATGTCACTAAAGCGTACACTTTAAAATGGTCAACTTATGTCATGTGAACTCCACCTCAATAAAAACCAGGACAGGGAACACAAAATCCTAAAAGCACAGCAGGTCAAAATAACCTCGGTTAAGATGCATAGTCATCTATGCATCAGTAGCCTTTGATGGCGTTTCTCCAACATGTTACAGAACAACTGAAAATCACAATGACTGCAGATCATGTCAAGAAAGTTTTATCATACTGAGAATACCCTATTTAAGAAGGCATAACATTATTTAATATATTTTAGCATATTGAAAAATTTCATCCAAAATTGTGATTTGGAAAGTTTACTTGAATGGAATTCTCATTTTTCTGAGAGTATCTACCAAGAGCATTTTTAAATTAGAAAGATTATATGGCATAAATGTCTGTATTACACATCATAAGCCCTAACTTGGTGGGACAGAGTCAACTTTAAGCAGCCTCTTGACTTTCCATATAAATCACCCAAATGTTACACGAAGCCTAATATCTCAAGGTCTAAACTAGTGTTGCTTTCCATATCAGAAGCAGCACAAACTCTTTTGCCAGACTATGAATTCCCGTTACTGTGTTAGAAAATAACAATAATGGCTTGGATAATTATGAGTTGAATAAAGCAGAAGTCATTCTGTGTGAGATACTACTTTGGGCTTTCTTTGACCACCCATGTGTGAGAACAAGTATCTACTTCTTTAACGAGACCATCTTTAAAACAATGAACTCAGAATGGGAGTAGCATTACAAAGAAAAGGCAACAAAGATCAAGGTCTTGTGAAGGGTCTGGGGGTCCCTAAAAGAAAAGCTGAAAAGTAACTGAAACTATCCTCATAGGAAGCCAGGATAGAAGGCTGAGAAGGGTATCTGCTGCTAGCCC